CAGACAGTTATAGAAGTGCAGAGGATGGATTCAATGATGGCGGAGTAGAACTGTTTCAGCAGCTCCTGTGACAGGTTGAACTTCCTCGGCTGGCGAAGGAAGTACAACCTCTGCTGGGCCTTTTTAAGTTACATGCATACTCGGCCACATGAACAAGGAGAGGCGGATAATTCATACATTTTAGTGTCCTTTATAAATAATTTGGGCCCTGGGAAGATGTTTGGTTTCCGCATCCCTGACAGCTTAATGTATTCCTGTCAGCCGCTACAATACTTTTCGACTGATAGGACCGTTGCTAAAGTGTCGCCGAAATTGTTTTCCTATTATACTGAGCTTCGGATAGCGTATTTGGTTTAATTTAATGGCACCCACACAAGAAAACCGATGTCCGATCAATGAACGAATCTTCATTCTGATTCGAATTTCGATTTTGGTTGGTTCCAGCGATTCTTGGTTGATTCACTGTCCAGACAACGGCTGCTCTGGCACATGTCCGATTACTGTGGCCGGTTGCATACTGCTTATTTATTTAGAGGTCAGTTAAATCCAAAAAGTAATACTTTATGACCACTTGGTTAACAGCTAGTTATTCAAACTTGTTCTTAAGACACAGTCTTAAGTTTATGCAACTGGCCCCTGGAAATACGACATACCATACAATACAGAATTAGTTTTATTAAATAGCATTTAATTAAAATGTTCTGAAAAGATAACATTTGTTTGAGAAATATACATGTTAGTATTGTTTAATGTAAATACCAATTATATTTGGCTATAAATTATTATTCGATTATAAAGAGTGGGTGTTTGACCAATAGAGAAGATCCACCATATTCAGGTCTTTGCATAAATAGAAAATGTAAAATAAAAAAACCGTCATTTTGATAAATAAAAAAAAAAACATGAATAAATAAAGTAGCCTATCATTTTCTTTGAAACAGCGTTCTCTAATGAATCTGCACAATCAGATGTTAAAAATTAAATGGGGTCAAATAGGATTTTGTTTACTGTAATGGACACATTTTTCTTCAACAGTGGTAGAAAAATAAATTAAATATAAAAAATAAAAATAAAATACAGAACAGTGCATCACTATTTAGTAAAACAGCTGTATTAAGAATGTACACATACAGTAAGTGAGGAACATTTATTTAACAAAACCAAAAAATGACATTTAACAAAAGTAAAATAAATACATTAAACATGCCATTAAATCTTAATCTGTAATGAGGATGTCTTTTTCACTACATACTCAGTGCAAGGTGTATTGGCACCATAAAAAAAGCATCTAATACACTAGTAAATTTAGGAACATACTATTTAGGTAACTGAACCTATGTTATGGTCTGATCCACTTTCTAAAATGTCATCACTTCCTAAAACTTCCTTTTTGCCTACTTGGTCCAAACAATCAAATGGTCCTAGTAAAATAAGAAAATGGGGCTCATAAAATAAAAAATTTAATTGTGTTAGAAGAAAAACAAAGAAGATATAGCAATAATCATCAGGGAATGTTTTCAAGAAAACCAGGCCACACGTGACATTATAGGGTGCTCTGTAATGTTTCTGTTGCGTTGTATGAATGCAGTTGCAAGAGATAATCGATAAAGCTTAAAGCTTTATCACACCATGACACTTACGTCTGAGCAAAAATTAATAATGGATGGAATGGTGCATGCATATTACACAAAATGTGATATGTCTGCAATGAGGTTTATGGCACTTTCTGGATAAAGAAAAAATCTGAAGGGAAGCACTTTGTCACTCCCAAAACCAGTCTGACAATTCACTCTTCTATTTCAGTGAGGTCCTTCAAAACCTCTCAGTAGTGGACAGGCACTTAGAAGATGCCCGTTGGCAACTCTTTGCTGAACATCCCAGACAAGTCTAAGTCCTTACTCATCAGATCCTCCTCAACATTCTCTAAGGCCCACTGATGATCCGTCAACTCCAGAGCCTCCCATTCCGCCTAAGAACAACATTCATATACATAAATATAAAAAAAAATAAATAAATGAAAGTTTGCAGCCTCAAAATAATATATAAAACAAAAAAAATATTTTGTAAATTTAAAAAGATTAGTGTGCAGCTTCTAATTTGTGATACCTTGAATGCTTTGTTTGTGTCCGCAGGCATTGCCATTGCAGCACCACTCATCTGTTCCTGCATGATGCGAGACTGATCTGCACCTGTTGCAAATGTAAGAATATCAACTGCATACGTACTTTATATACAGGGCCTACCCTAATTAAATAATACAAATGCAACATGAAGAAATAGGATTATAATACTAAAATGATTCAAATGATTTTTAAGCTAAATGTTTAAAGGCAAAAGCTATTAGTGCAACACAAATTTAGCCCTTGTGCTGTGCTAAAAATCTTTTACCTACTCTGGTGTTCCAAGTCAAAAATGACCAGCCTTTTAAAAATTGCTTACAAATGCTATATTATTATCACCTTATCTGGATCTTATTGTCAACTTGTTTTTTCAATTAGCACAGGTTTTGTATTGGTTGTAAGCCTCACTGATCTGAGCTTATACATCTCAGTTTACTCAATTTACTTTTTGAGAAAAAGAATTTCAGGAAAAAGATCCTCCTCTCTGGGGCAAAATGACCAGAACACAAAAGCAGACAACTGACAATAGTTAGATCAATATTACAACGTGGCATCACCACTGGAGTAGGTCAAAATTATGGCGTATTGAAATGGAACATCAGTAAAGTTATTTACCATTGTCTTGTCCAAGAATCAGAGAATACATGCTCCTGAGACCAAACACATTCAGGAAATACCAAGATGCTGAACTCACCCTGTGGATGTATACAGCACAAGATTGTTTAAAGACACAGCTTTGAGTGAAATAAGAACACTCAAGGGTTTGAGAACACTAACCAGGAGGCATCTAGAGAGAGCAACTCAATTCCCTGCTGCAGCATCGGCTTGAAGCGGAGTGTGAGAGGAAACGGTACCTTTGCTTGAAAGAGAACAGAATTACAAATGGGTTAAGACAAATTCAGTGAGAATAAACTAGAAGTAGCCAAACTCTCGTATTTGATAATGAAAAAAATGGTATCTCTTACTTGTGACAAACCCAGAAAAGGTCCAGTTGATCCAACCACCAATAAGGATCATAGGCAGGACGTTTGTCACATTGCCTTTCATCATGTCTGTCAACATGCTAGGATCTAATTGAGCAAATAACGTAATCACATTAATATTTTCACTCAATCCTGACTGTCATTTTATGATATAATATGTGCATAAAAGAACCTCCACTGAGACTCACCAGTCATTGGAGATGGTGGGACCACCTTTCTTTTGGTCTTCTTGAAAAATCCATCTTCTTGATTATTGAAGTAGAATTTTCTCATCAAGAAAGACTATTTTAGAAAGAGATAGCATTTCCGTTTTAGTAATTCGGAAACATCTCAAGTAAAAGACACAAAAAAGACAGCAGGGGCTCACTTGTTTAGGAATGTATTTTCCATTTTCCCGTAAAACTCTGCTCCTGATGAGAACCTGGCTGTGTAGAGAATGTGATCTTTAGTATTTTGTAACATTTTGTGAGTTGCACAAAACATGTGGATAGATAATGAAACAGTCCAGTGAAAATTACCTGTCTGAAACCTGCTCTAAGGTGAGCTTCTTGTCACTTTGTAACAGAATCGAGACATAATGGCGGATCACTCCAACCAGAAAAGTAATAAACACAATTGGCAGCACAACCCAAAGACGAATATTGGAGTCCAGGAGGAGCTCGGGCTCAGCCATGCTTTAGTGAAGGGATGTTGATGGGATATGCCCACCCTGAAACAGACAAACAATGAGATCTAGTAATCTCTTTGACTCGTATAATCTAATACCCAGAGTTACACTCAAAATAACTAGCAGATCATCGTGAACCATTATGGATTAATGAATAGTAGTACATGTATATGAAAGGACAGCACTGATACTTTCATAATAAGCTAGAACTCGATTCCCTCAAATGCCTGATGAAGGTTAAATGTCAAATCTGCTTCATAAGGATGCCATATGGTACATTTATCGCTTAAATTCACGGAGCGATTTCCAATTCATTTGTTCATATTCATGTCAAGTGTATACATGTCTATTTCGTCTCTATCTATTACAGAACACAGAAAGAGAAAAGCAGGTGCTTCAGATTTCAGTTGAAATCCACCCACTGTAACGACACATCAGGGTTAGCTTGCTGCTAACAACCTTCTTTCAGGCTAAGGGTGGTGAGACATCTTTTTTGACATATAACGTTACACACCCGCACCGAGCATATGCTATATTTTCGACGCTACATGTTGCGACAACTGAGACTTTAACATAATAAACGTATTGTACCTACTCTCGTATACAAATTGCGGTTTATCTCTTCAAAGCCCGATAACAACTCGAACCAGGATGCGACACCATCGAGCCGCTGCTGCTGCAAAGAAGTGTGAACGCACGTCCAAAGAAGTGTTTCAAAATAAAAGTAATTTCTGTAACATTTTCATAATTAAAGTTCAAATATCAAATTGACCTAAATTATCAAATCAATGTGTCAGTAAAATATAATTAGGATATATAAGTATTATTATAAATATATATGTATATGTTTATGTTTATGACTGCTATATCACGACAATTAACATTCTTTTGTCCTATTTGAACCGTTTTCGTTAAAACACTGTTTTTGGTATAGAAAAACACTAATATATTAATATAAAAATATGCACTGCACACACACGCACACACTTTTATGCCGCTTATCATATATGTATATTATAGAAAAAATAGCTTCATTTACCCAATTCGTAGGACAATAGGATCAATAAAAATTAAGGTAATTAAAATTATAATTATCATTAGCATAAATAAAATTAAATAAATGAATATTAGCATAACATTATTTAGTTATTACTAGGGCTGCTCGATTATGGCAAAAATCATAATCACGATTATTTTGGTCAATATTGTAATCACTATTATTTAACACGATTATGAGGGGGCCATATGACCAAAACATTATATGAGTGATTTATTTAAAGATAATAGCCCGCTGTCACTTTAAGAGCCGCACGGATCCAATTTACGGTTACACGCGTATTTTCATTCTCAAATCTTTACGTTCATTTATTACATGACCGACGATGGTATACATGAATAATCACTAAGCGCCGCATTTTGACACATTTTTGCGTGTATTTGATCGTTTAGGCGCGCATCTTGAGCTAAAAGGTGACTTTACACGTCCGTGTTCAGTTCCGTCTCTGAGCGCATATATCTTCCTGAGGAGCAGCGCAAGTTCTCTTTCACGCTTTTAAAAACATGAATACATATACTTATATAAACCAAGCACGTCCCATTTTGCAAAAGACACGTTACATGATTTGTCTGATTTGCACGTGAAATTGGGCTTGGAGGAACGAACGCGCAGCGCTGGAAAAGGGGGCGGAATGGGCCGCAATAATCGTTTTGTCTCGATTACTGTGTTTTCATAATCGTTGGAGGCCGAAATCGAAACTGTTTTTCTAGTAATTGCACTGCCCTAGTTATTACAGTTTAGTGTATTTTAAAATATAATACTTAATCGATTACATTTAATTTTTTATACATTTTTCATTAAATATTCAATCGTCCTGATTTTTGACATTACATCTGAAAGAATAGTATAGTATGTCCTGAACCCCAAATACATCTCAGACACGAGTATCAAATAAGAATTTATGAACATAAGCAACTTGTTTAATTATCATGCATAATACATCGCATTAAAGCACATCACATTAAACTAAGAAAAAATGGTGACAAATGATCGTGTTGTTGTTTTTAATTAATGAAATGTGGTAGCCATGGGGGCTCTGCACAGAAATTGTTCCACTCTAAAGACTACAGTAACAGTCTTTTGTCTTCAACTAACAACAGCTTTAGAAAACTGCTAGAAAAAAAAATTGTCAAAATTTAGAAAGAACAAAACTCCAAAAGTATTCGCAACATTTTAATACTGTGGCCTGTATAAGAAAACACATGAAACATTCTTCTTTTACAACCCACATCCTCTCATATCGACACTGGCATATTCATTAACAGGTAGTTTCTGTAGCATTTGGTCCACTAAAAGAAACCACAGCTAAGCAGATCTAAAAGGGTCGATAATAGAAATAATTAAGTAGTGTGACTGAAGTACATAGAACTGTTTTATAACAGCTTGTAAATACAGGAAGAAAACAACAAACATACATATAACAGAAACTCTGTTGGCAATTTTAACAAACCAATGCAGAAATCTCAAAGAAATGGCATTGATAAACTTGGGCAAATTTAACAACCAATCCCATGTTATCACACACTCAGTCCACACAAAATGCAACAGGCAGATGTGCACATACCCACACATACACTGCAAAAATCTTTTTATTTACACCAAATCAACCATTGCCATGATAGAACATTGCGCTCACGTACCGAGACATTCAGTTCAGGGCGTGTCAAAGGCTGATCAAGTTTGGACATGTTACTTCTATTATGCATTACTGAATGGAATTACATGGAATCAGAAACACCCATATATAGATACTGGCTTGGGAGATTGGTGCAAAGTGTGAAAATGAAGAATGGTTACATTCCCATGCTTAATACAGAGATATCAAGCTGCCATATTTTTCCCAAGAGGACAGAATACAATTCACTCTGCAACTCTGATGCGAAGCGAGCCACTACAGGTCAGGATCAGATGCACAGTGGGAGCAAATCCTTGATGTAGAACACTGAATTTGTGCGTTAAAAAAAAAATCATATAAAAGAACTTAACCTCATAATTCAGTCAGTCTGATGTGGTCACAGAGGGCCGTACTAAAAGAGGAGAGCACCCATACTGCCCACTTCACTCTGTTCTTTCACAAAGATCTCAAAGTACTGGTAGATGATAGTGACGGCCAACAAGATTCCAGTTCCTGAGCCGATGGCTCCTAGGAAGTCAGCCATGACTGAGAGGCCACCTATACACAGGCCTCCGAAAGCTGCAGCTGTGGGGATGTACCTAAACGAGCATTTAAAGAAAGCTTTAGTTATTCTATGTTTGATTCATTGAGTCTAATTAAGTTTGAGTGCTCTGTATGTATTACCTGTTGAGTTCATGGACCATAGAAGTTTCTCTGTGTCCCCTCATAACCATCTGCTGTTCTTTCAGCTGTTTGGCGACCTAAGTAACGCAAAGTGTACATATGCCATAAGTCGACTGTACAATGCAGCTCAGTGTAATCAATAAGCAGGAACAGTCTAATGCTCTTACATCTTTGGCAGAGGATCCAGACACTTCGATCCAGGTTTTAGAAAAGAAGGCACAGGATCCCAGCATGAAGATGATGTAAGTGATGGCATGGACTGGATCCTCCAGTACTGTGCTGAAAGACTCTGGGGGAGAGAGGTAGTAACACAGACCACCTACTGGATAAGCACGAGCTGGCCCTCCACTTGAAGAATCCTGTTAACCGAAAAAACACACACTTTATAGGTGCACAAAGTATTTTTATAAAATAATTTGTTATAAAACTCAGAGTCTGATAAACAAAATAACATGAGTAGCATTCAAATGGTCATGTAAATTTCAAAACAGCAACTTCATCTTCACCTGGTGTGAGTGTACATCATTTTAAACATGTACGGGGGTCGGGGCCTAAAAGAGGGGCCTCAACAACTTACAAGGGGCCACAGAATTATTTAAAATAATTTATTACTATTAACATGTTCTGACTCTAAATTAAATACTAAATTTAAAACAACAACATATTTTATTGAAGAATATACAGTTCTTGAAACAAAAGGAGTCATATGGCGCTTTTCCACTGCATGGTACGGCTTGGTACGGTTCACTTTTGGGGGGTTTTCCACTGGGTACAGTACCTGGTACTTTTTTTAGTACCACCTCGGTTGAGGTTCCAAGTGAACCGTACAGTTACCAAAACGTGACTGTGTAAACTCTGCTGATCACGGATTGGCCGGAGAGAATCGTCACTACCTGCGTCACGGAACTTGTGACAAACACAACAGAACCGCTAGATTTAAATCAGCACAGCCAGCGAAGGATCGTTGTCTGTTGAGGAAGTACAGACGTTCCTCTTGTTGATAGCAGAGGAGCGGATCCAGCGAGAGCTTGATGGGGCGACGCGGAATGAAAAAGTTTTTCAGGAGTCGCGGCAGTAGAGGCGGCGCAACTAATGACGTGAATAATCCCGCCCACTCTAAAGCGATACTAAAGTGCAGTGGAAACGCAAACCGTGCCGTGCCATACTGAGCCGAGCAGAGTCGTACCACGCAGTGGAAAAGCGCCAATAGTTACTTACTTTAATATATCAATACTACCAGTTTATATGAATAAATATTTGAAAACAAGCAGCTTTGTCAATTAATTACCCTATAATTATATTTTGAATATTGTGTTGGACAATGGGGGGCTTTTGAGTCACAGAAGTTATTTTAAAAATGTATTTCACTATTTATAAGTGCAAGTGAAAAAGCATGTTCAAACTAAAAAAAAATAATAATAAAAAAAAATAAAAATACAAACTCTTCAGACAACACAAATATGGGAAAGTTTAAACAAGTCACTTACCGACCAAGTCCCCAGCAGATTGACCAAGAAGTTCCCACTGAAGCGAGTGGAGAGCATTTGAGAGATGACGTAAAGGTTGGACACCAGTGCAGACTGCAGGATGATGGGAATGTTGGAGGTGTAGAACAGTTTGATGGGATATGTGTTGTACTGGCCACGGTAACGTGCAGATTTGATAGGGAGGTCGACTCTGAAGCCCTGTGGAGCAAGAAATAATATACTTAGCATCTAATACTTGAAATTTGGATAATTTATAATTAAACCGTAATATTCAAGGTATCATCTGTAGGAAAAACTCAGACAGGTAGAGCTTCACGATTTGAGAACTATTATACTAATAGAGTAAAACTACAGTACTAATATTTACTTAATTTCTTCATTTTCAAAAATTAAACCAACCAGCCAATTTACAAGCACTTCTTATAGCAGGTATAGGAGGATGTTAGCACAAATGCACATTATAAGTGACCCAAACCATGAGCAGATGCAGAGCTCCTTTGGAACAGCATTTACTGTGAACTGAACTGCTGTGAGACACTAAACAGTGGATCATGAGCTGCTTGCATTTTAAAAGAACACAAGGTCACCCTTCACTCTGAATTATGCAGTGCAGAGATGAATATGTATGTGTTTGATTAAATCGAAGGCTTTGTTTTTTTTAAATATTGCACCGAGCCATATCAGAAGGTAAGGTGAGGGCATTTTCACAGGCAAAACCCAGTCATTCCAATAGGAATCTGCACAATCTGGAGTTTTGTGTGAGGGTGAAAAACTTCCCCACACTAGTTTCGCTCATTTCACATGAATTTGCTGCATTTAGCAACCAAAACCTACTTGGATTGAAAGTGACTTATGTGCGTGTTGTGCTTCTTACATCACTATCACTACGGAACTTCTCTTGCCAATGTGACCACACCTTTATGCAATAACCCACTAACCTGAAAGTATATGACCACTCCAAAGACAAAGACTGTAGCAATGAGGTTCATGAGATTGGGCAGGTTCTGTCTGTAGAAGGCCTCTCTCAGTGCTCGCACTTTATCAGTACGAGTGGCCAACAGGTGGAACAGAGCAATAATGGCTCCCTCAAACTCAGTACCTGTACGTCCACAAACAAAATTCAGTCAGCATCACTGAAGACACCACAGAATGGTTCAAAACAAGATGCTACATCCTGAACACAAACCTCTTCCTGTGTTGACTGTGGTTGGGCTGAATGCTTTCCACACGATTGTCTCACAGATGTTGGTGGCGATGAAGAGAGAAATACCAGAGCCCAATCCGTAACCCTTCTGCAGCAACTCATCCAGCAGCAACACGATCAGACCGGCCACAAACAACTACAAAGAATATACAAATCAATATTAACTGATCAAACATAGCCTAATTAACTAAAGGATAATGGATAATGTTCTTCACAAAACAAATCCCAAGATAAGACTGAGGAGATCCAAGATGTTGATCAGTCAGTCTTTTTATAATGATGTTCATTTGTGTAGATAGCAGATGCAAATACAAACAGACAAGATTATTTGAACAATGCCTGCAAAGGTCACTACGATAAACAGAGCAAAGTCCAATAACTTGAAGGAAGCTAGGGAGAGAATAAGGCAAAAGGCACATACAGATCCAATATGTCTTTCAATGGTCATTGTCAATGATCATTTCTAGAATGAGGAGTACTAAAATTTAATGTACACAATAATGACTGAAAATGGAAAATGTGCGTTAAATGAGATTCGTTTGGAACCGAACGTATAGGTTAAATGGCCGAGCAGAGAATGTTATTGGCTGAATAAACTTATCGGTTTACAAATATATCAGTTTATCACTAAAGTGTCTAAATATTTCACACAGAAAGAATGTGAATTTACCTGGATGATGATGAGGAGGCAGATTCCAGCACCCATCTCTGAAGGGTCTCCATACATGCCAGTCATCACATACACAATAGACTGACCAATGGTGATGATCATACCAAAAACTGGTGGGAAGATCTCACAGTTAGATATCTTAAAACAAATGCAATGATGGCATTAAAGGGGTCATATGATGTTGCTAAAAAAACATTATTTGGTGTATTTGGTGTAATGAAATGTGTTTATGCGGGTTAAGGTTCAAAAAACACATTATTTTCCACATACTGTACATTATTGTTTCTCCTCTATGCCCCGCCTTTCTGAAACGCGTCGATTTTTACAAAGCTCATCGGTCTGAAAAGCAAGGTGTGCTGTGATTGGCCAGCTATCCAGTGCATTATGATTGGCTGAATACCTCAAAATGTTACACCCCTACCATACTGTGATGATGCCCTGCCTGGCCGGAGCGATGATTCAAAAACATGAAAACCCATTATAAACGAGGCATTCGTTGCATCCAGTGGGGACATAATTATGGATTATAATGACTTATACCGTCTTTTTACGCGTTGCATCGTGCCACGTAAACATAAAACCATGTCTGAATTTGTGATCGGAGAAATGACAAACA